GTACGTCTGATCGAATATAAAGTATTATAATATATTAATATGTTATTAGAAACCCACAGTGCACGGCTACAAGGAACAACCTCGGGAACAACCAACGGGCAACGGATCCATAACAAAATAAAATATTTCACCTCATAATCATACTCTTTTTACCGTACTAAATGTTCATGTTTATAGTAATTTCTAAGTTATAGCACGTATTTGACCGTCGGGAATATTGGCAAAAACAATAAAATAATTGTTAAGACGAGTTTTGACCTTGGTATTTTCAGCTCACTAATGGTCACCAAACTGAAAATACAAAGGGTGTCATACGTCAACAACAAAATACTATTCGAGAGCGCATAAAAAAAGATGTTCAATCATTTCCATTCAAATCATCCAATTGTTATATTTTTCTTTCTCAATTTCATGAGAGATGATAACGACTTAATATATTATATAAAAGGATAAAAAAACACAATAGCGTATGTTCTTAGAGTATATTCAAAAAGTGGTCGAAAAATACTCTAAGGAAAAATAAAAACAGTGTCTACACGCGAAATACAATTCATGTGGCATAGCATATATTCTTTCTTCTTTTACTTTCAAAAGTAAAAAGCTTTCAATTTTTTAAAATAGAAAACTTTTTAAAATAAAACTATTCGTCATGATACTTTTTCATATATGTTATTTTATTATCGACATGTGTATACACGATTACAATGGGAACATTTTATTCTCTCGCAGACTTTCGTCCAAAATATTATATCCTTACTCCTTTTCTCAGAAATACAATCAATATTCAATAACACTTGAGAAGTAGCGAGTGTAATATCGATGGTGAACAAAAATAGTTCATCCAAAACATTTGGGAAGAGAAAACCAGATATAAATGTGTAAAAATAAATCAAGATTTAAGAATTTGCTTAAACGTTGAAAAAGTGGTACCTAGTGTATGTTTAAAAATACAGTAAAAAGTTAAATAAAATAGAGTTATTGTAGTAACTGATTATTGTCGATTCTGCTTTGCTCACTCCGACGCAAGTCATATTACTATTAAAAATTTGGAAAGAATAATAAATCATCACATTTAAAAAAATCATTAAAAAGGTGCTCTGCTGTACAGTAGGTTACAAGTGGGTCACTGTATAATGGATGGCATTAAATTTGAATTCAATGATATAATAGCATTGTATAAGAAAAACGGTTCTGAGAGGAGACGATATGTCAGTTATTCGTTTTTGAATTACAACAAAATAACAAAACTGCCACATGAGAAATCGAGTGAATATCCAATATAGTAAAAATATGAACTTCAAATGCTCATAAAAATTTAATTTGATTTGCTTATTGACATTATTTTTTTATTATTTTTTTTGATAAAGGTAGACAAACTTATTAATAATCTTGTATTACATTTTCAAACCTTAGATTTAAAAAAGGCAATTATTAATGTATTCTCAACTCAAAATAATTTGCTAATTTTCGTGATATTTCCTTAATTTTTCAAGATTTGAACTTTAAATGATTATAAAAAAAATATTATGTATTATGCCTTATGATATAGTAGTATGATATTTAGTACCTTTAGAAAGACTAGACTTTCAAATGATACTTATATGTTTAAAATATTTAATAATTAATATAATGATAACCGATAAACATTTATTGTGATAAATTATGTTTTATTATTTATATAATATTAAATATGGTACCTATGTCCAATATCTATATGTATTGTTGTTATTAATTACAATAAATTATTTTATATTTAACTAAGAAACAAAAAAAGTTAGGGGATGAATCTGCGGTGCAACCACAATACAATCAAATTACTTTTTTCAAGAAAACCAGGAGTTTAAAAATAACTAGTTTTGGCACCTGTGTGGCTGTATTCCTTTCCTGAACTCTGCTATATATATTTTTTTTTTTTGACAAGATATTTACAATCTATTCAGAGAACAATAAGCAAATTAGATAAGAGTAATAAAAAACATTAGTAATATGATGGAAGAAACCACCCAATGATGACACTACCTATTTTATTTTAGAGTTTAGTAGGAGGATTTCCTGTATAAATTTTTTTTTTTTTTTAATATTCAAAAGTAATTAACAATCTGTATCCATACTAGACACAATAAGAAAATATGATAAAGGTTAACATAACATGAGGTTTTATTGAAAGAAGCCACCCATTGATAGCACTATCTACTAACTTGATAATTATTTATTTTTTTATTTTTATTTTTTTTTTTTTATTTTTTAATTTTAATTTTTTTTTAATTTAATTTAATATATAATATATAATTTAATTTAATTTAAGAGATCTCTACACCACTTACGCTTCAGACGTCTCGGAGGATTTCCAGGTATTGTGGGAGTGGCCAAGTTTTTTATTAATTGATTAGGGTGATTATTTAGACGGTAATAGAATCTTTTGTAAAAGATTTTAGCTTCATCATTTATTTTATTAAGTTTCAAGTCGGTGTGTAGTGTATGATTTGACACGTAAGGTGGAGCATTCGTTAGTTTTCTAAGCACGATATTTTGAAAGGTTTGGATTTTCAAAATATTTGTCTTTTTCGCATTGCCCCAAAGCTGAAGGCCGTAGGTCCATAGTGGTTTCAATAGTGTTTTGTATATAAGAAGTTTAGTTTTAAGAGAGGTGTGATTATTATTGGATAATAAGGGTTTAAGTAATCGGAGACGATGATTCAATGCTAATCTTTTGGTTCTGATATGATGAGCCCACGTTAATCTTTGATCTAACGTAAGGCCGAGGTATTTGATTTTTGGAGAGTAGGGAATTGGAATTCCATATAGGACAACACCAGGACAAGGAGTATGTCTTAGGGTAAAGGTTGTGTGAACGGATTTATTCTGGTTAACTTTAAACCGCCATTTTGTAAACCATTTTTCCATAGCATTAAGGTGAGTTTGAAGATTTATTGACGCTAAGATTGGATTGTTGTTAATGGATATTAGTGCTTTGTCATCAGCAAAGTCAGCTACAGATGTGTTGGGGGTAATAGGTTGATCAGATGCAAATATGTTATAGAGAATTGGAGATAGGATTCCACCTTGAGGCACACCAGCATTTATAGAAGCTAAATCAGATAGAGCGGAACCGTGGCGAACTTGAAAAAATCGATCCGTTAGATAGGATTTGATAAGTAGATAGTAAGTGGGTGGAAGGAATTTCTTAAGTTTATATAAAAGGCCATCGTGCCACACCCTATCGAAGGCTTGTGCGATGTCTAGGAACACACAATTGCAATAAAGTTTTTTTTCCAGGGAATACGAAATAGCATCTACGACTCTGTGCACTTGGTGTGTGGTTGAGTGAGACGCCCGAAAGCCGAATTGAGTATTTGGAAGGATATTCTTTTGAGTAATGATAGGTATAATACGTTTCAGAATTAATCGTTCAAGTATTTTAGCGAAAAATGGAAGAAGGCTAATTGGTCGATGTGACGATGGAATGTCCGGCGGTTTATTTGGTTTAGGGAACAAGATTATAGTGGAGAATTTCTAAAGTAGAGGAAAATAAGAAAGTCTAAGTGAAGCATTAAATATGTGAGTGATGTGAACGATAGCTCTAGTTGGAAGGGATCTGGCTACTTCCGCAGTAATGCGATCATAGCCCGGTGATTTGTTTAGTGAGTATTTTAGTATGGCATATTTAACATCGTTTGGTGTAAATGACTTGACAGGGAGAGTTAGAGGAAGGGAAGCATTCAGAAACGTTTCTACCGTATTCATATTTTCATTGTCAATTATCTCAGAGTGTGGTTGAAAAGTTTGAGAAAGATGCTCCTTAAAGAGTTCTGCTTTTTCGAAGTCAGAAATGGCAAGGCTGCCATCTGATTTCTTAATAGGGAGATTTGGTGATTTATAACGAAGAATTTGTTTGGTTTCCCTCCAGAGACTACCATCTTTGGGAGTAAGCTTCATTAAGTGATTTTGCCAAACATTTGCCTTAATTTTTGCTAGCATTTTTTTCAAGGAATTGGCCAGGTTATTATAATTTAGTTTATGGGAAGGGAGCCGAGTGCGCTGGAAGAGAGCTCTAGCTCTCCGTTTTTCAACTATTTTGTTACGTATTGTCACAGGTAATGGATCTGATGTGGGCGGTTCTAGAAAAGTACTTGTAGCTGACCAGGCTGCAGTTTGTATAACATTGGTAAGGTTGTGGATCGCTAAATCTATATCGTCGGGAGTTTTTAGTTTAATGTTTAAATGTATTTCTTTATCGACTAGTTCAGTAAATTTGGAATGGTCTGTGAATTTATTAAATAGTTTATTAGATTCTTTATAAGTAGGGGAAGTATTGAGAGTTAAGAGCACTGATGAGTGATCGGAATTTAAATCAAGTAAATTTTTAGTAGTGCTAAATAAGTTATTTGGAATTTTGGTCACAAAAATATCTAGAATGTCAGGGTTTTTCCGGGAAGACGAAGGCCAATACGTTGGATCAGGAGGAGCTAGAACTTTAAATTTTTTTAGATTGGTAAAATTGTACAAGGTGACACCTCGCGGGTTATTCACTCGGCACCCCCACGACTGGTGTTTGGCATTAAAATCGCCGCCTATTATAAAGTAGTTATTGAATGTGCTAAAGTAGTCAGAGAATTTTATGTCCGTAACAATATGTTTAGGGGGTGAGTATATAGCAGCAATAGTGATTGGAGTATTATTTATTTTTAAATTGATAGCACAAGATTGGAGGAAATCTTGGGAAAAACTAGGCAAGGGATAAAATTCTATAGTGGATTTAACAAAAATAGCAGCACCACCGTGCGCTGTGTTATCTGGGTGATTTGTTTTAATTAAAGTATAACCAGGAATATGGATATACGAGTATTTTGTGAAGTGAGTCTCGGAAATGAGGGCAATATCAATGCGTTTGTTGATAAGAACAGATTCGAGTTCATGGACATGGTTTTTGAGACCATTAGCGTTAAATTGTAATATTAGGAGCGAGTTGTCGGTGACGGAATTATTATAATTATTGGCCATTATTTGTCGAGGAGCTTGGAAATTACTTTAGTTAATAGAGCTATAAGTGGATTAATTAATGTTTTAAATTCATCTAGAAAACTGGACATTAATTTGTTTAAATCAGGAGGATGAGTTGCATTGATAGGAGGTGAAGTGTCGTTAGCAGGAATGTTGGACGTAGCCTGAGCGTAAGTTTGCGTTTGTGGATTAGAGTGAGCGTGACTAGGTGGGTGGCTACCTTGTACATTAGTGGACTTAGTTTTATAATTATTATCTATTCGATTACTTGGTGCGCTGGGTATCTTTCGACGTTGAAGTTCTTTGTAGATTGAGCAGCCTTTGTAGTTGGCTGGGTGGTTTTGGGAACAGTGGACACATTTCGGAGGGACATCTCGTGAATTCGGGCATGCAGATGACTGGTGGTCCGCTCCACAACGAACACAACGAGGATGGTATCCACAGTATCCTCTGGTGTGTCCGTATTGTTGGCAGTTGAAACATTGGCTGATTTGTTTTGGTTTATATGGTTCTTCAACTTTAATTTTACAGTGAAGTAGTGATGAAAGTTGGAAAATTTCATTAGACTGCTGTGTTGGCTCAAGATCGATGAAGAATAGTGGAAGGGGGTTCTTATTGACTTTGTGTAAGACATTAGTAACTTGCCTTACCTCAAAACACCGAACTTCTAACTCCTCTTTTATTAGTGTTAGAGGCGTGGATGAGTGAAGGTTACGAATAACTACCCGTAGTGGTTTGTCCTCATTCAATTGGTAAGTATGATATTCAGCTTTTTCTGTTTTGAGGAATTGTATTAATGCCCTGTACGCACTAGGGTCCGTGGTTTGAATTTTCAATGAGTTAGTTGTAGACTTGCACATGAAATTGTCTACACCAATTAGTTCAATTAAGGTCGTACATAGTTCGGGATAATCTTCGACACCTTTGACAAATATAGGTGGAGGAGGTTTAATGAAAGTTTCGGCATCAGTATTAGTATTATTTTGATGAGAGTTAGGTATATTTCCATTAGTATTAGTTTCAAACGGATCGTCTTGGGCAAGTACTTCGAATCTGTTACGTGTAACAAAAATCTTTTTTTTATGTTTTGTTAAAATAATATTCTTATTTGGATTCGGTGTTGATGGTTCGGAAGCTGAATTGGAGGAGCTGGAAAGATTACGTTTATTCGTTTGTGCTGAATGGCTAGCATTATTCATGCTGTTTGAATCGGGCTTATTTGAAGGACTGTTTTGGCGAGCATCCTGTATATTAGTTTTGTTTTTGCTGATAGTAATACTATTATTTGTATTATTAGTTTGTACCTTTTGCGATTTCGACATGTTTATCTCGCGGACAAAGGTCGTCCTCTGTTGCGTGGCGTAGTCGATACGCGACGTAGCAGGTAATTGACACTTGAAACTATTACGAATTGAACTCGGTTCACATTGTAATAGAGAATTAAAGACGTTTGGTGATTAATAGAATAAAAGGCAAAAAGAAGTTTAATATATATACACTATAATATATACTGATACGCAGCGGTAATTAACGGAGCGACGAAACAGACGTGCGTTAGGTACGGCTGCTCGCACGGTACTGCCTGTATAAATTAAAAAAGTTTCTTCATCCTACATACTTTGCTATTATTAAGTCGTTTCTCTCCGATCACCACTTTCAAGTTCGTGTAGGTGATGAATTTTCTTCCATAGGAAATATATCAGCTGGTGTCCCGCAAGGTGGTATCCTCTCCCCTACCCTCTACAATATATTTGCCTCAGACCAACCAACGACACCTAATACACTAACTGCCGATTACGATTACACTCTGATCCCGTCATAGCTTCTCAAAATCTCCAATCTCACCTCAATCTCATGGAGAAGTGGTACACCGACTGGAGATTTAAAATAAGTCAAACCAAATCGGTTCATGCGACGTTCACCCTTAAACTCACCCCTTGCCCTGATGTCTTTATTTATAATACTCTGATTCCCAGTGCTTCGAATGTTAAATATCTTGGCTTGACCATTGATAAAAGACTGACCTGGGCCCAGCATATTAAGTCCAAAAAAATTAATCTAAACTTACGCCTACGACTACTAAAAAACCTCATCCACAATAATAAATATACTCACATCAATACCAAATTACTAATCTATAAATCACTACTAAAGCCTGTTTGGACATATGGCCTACAGCTTTGGGGAAACGCGAAAAAAACTAACATAAACAAAATCCAAACATTTCAAAACATCGCACTTCGCAAATTAGTTAATGCCCCTCCCTATGTCTCTAACCACACTATACATAAAGACCTTAAAATGCCGTCAGTCTCTGAAGAAGCTAAAGCATATTATAAACGTTTCCATTTCCGCACTTTAGCCCATCTCAATCCTCTTGTCAGAAATCTTACCAATCCTACTATCCCTGGTAACCCGCCGAGACGGTTGAAACGAAAATGGTGTCGTGATCTATTGCTACCTAATATTAATATAAATATTAATTGAAAAAAAAAAACTGAAAATATAAAAAAAAAAATTTTAAAAAATGTAAGGCAAATTGAAGTGTTACTAATGGGTGGCTGCTTTCCTCAAAAATGTTTCACGTATTATGTACAAATATTATTAAGAGGACGCCACACCCGCATGTGTTGTCTCCGTCTTACAAACGCGTAACATAGCAAATTACGTCCACGGAAAACAAACGAATCGGCATCAAAAAGTGGTTTTAGAGTAAAAATACCTATAATAAAACTTAAAGAGAACAATATTTCGGAGGGAACCTCATAGGGGTTTTGTATTAATCTAAATACACAGCTAGATATTGAAGGCACAAAAACTCTTTTTTTTAATTTTTTTAAATAACCACAACTTTTTTAATAGTTAATATTTTTAAAAATGCCTATGAGGTTCCCTCCAAAATATTGTTCTCTTTAAGTTTTATTATAGGTATTTTTACTCTAAAACCACTTTTTGATGCCGATTCGTTTGTTTTCCGTGGACGTAATTTGCTATGTTACGCGTTTGTAAGACGGAGACAACACATGCGGGTGTGGCGTCCTCTTAAGGGTATGATGTATTTTTTTAAATTATTTGTATATGATAAATCTCATTCACATCTACTTATTGTGCCATGTGGTATAGATTGTAGTTTACATTTAAAAAAAAAAAAAAAAAAGTAGGAGGATTTGATCTAGGATTCAAGCATCTAGCAGGTCACGACACCAATTACGTTTGAGACGACTGACGGGGTTACCCACCAAACATATATATTATATTTGTACAATATTTATAATAGATAATATATTTCAAGAAAAGATCTTATAAATTATTATTCTTCTATATTATGTCAATTGATATAATTTATTATCAAGTAATAATTACTATTTTTTAATTGTTTTATATATAATCATCCAGGGTAAAGGCCAGACACAGTGTATTTTAAAATACACAAATCAATAGGTATTATATAGAAAGAAACCTACGTCTTACAATATAACTTATTTAACTCCTTTCTTTGGAGTTTTAAGTTTAATAGTTAGATATTAGTGATATTACTTCGGATATTACTCGGATATTACTTATTTACAAAATATGTCAAAGAATAAAATCAATTTTATAAATATTTTAAATATTTTATCATTATTGATTAGCATTTACTATTTCAGTTTAGAACAAAAAATAAGCGGTTTAGAAACAAAATGTTGATTTACTGCAGTAGTTTAATATAATATGCCATTTATCTGGTAAAAGTAAAACGTAGGATATAAATAATGAGTCCAATTCCGCTGTTTTTGAAAGTTAGCCAAGAAACTAAATCCTCCTCATCTTTTCTTATATCGAATTGGTTCGATTTTCTAAGTTTTCCACTAAGACTATTTAGACATTTTATACAATACCTATCGTATAACCTTTTAATTCACCTTTTACTTTTATACATGATCAGAGTATCAGACCATTACTTCCATCCCATTTAAGACTCATAATACCAAAATGGTGTTCCATTCGTTACATAACTTATCAGTATAATAAACTTATTATAATTAATTTCTTTGTTAATAGATAGGTATAAATGATAAATTTATCAATTTATTGATATAATTCATAGAAAAAAAATCAAAAAGGGTCTTATAGTGCTGGCACAGTCTGAATAAATTAGCGATCTAGGAAATTTATCAATAAACTATAATGTCTGGAGTTGAATATAATTTAATTTTTACTATGCATAATAAGTGTTTTATTATTTGTTTTCCTAGTCCAAACAACAAGTAAAAACGAGGATTTATGTCACGTCAAATAATCCATATGAAGAAAAATGTTCGTGTTTGGCATGCTGACAATAGTAATAGTAATAAAATATATACCGTGTCAGAAAAAGACCATGAAAACTATTCAGTAATAAACAACACCCCACATCAACCTTCGTTTCAATCACGGTCAATGTCATCTCATTAATGAAGTATTGAAAAACATAGGCATACAATTTCACTATTATTATTACTAGTCCCTATCCTGCAATGCTTTTAATCAGGGTTGATATGTTTAAAACACAATGTTGTAAATATGTTTAAAACATGAATTTAAATAAACGATTTGTTCATTGTTTAAAACAGTGTAAAATCCAAGTGAATATTGTGTTGTTTTTTTTTTAAATTTATTTATTATTATTATTATTATTATTATTAATAAATAATAATGGATATCATTCAGAAAAAGGTTAAAGGATTAAATAATTATCTATTACCAGTTTTAATTATTTATAAATAATTTGCAATATTTTAGAAATATTGAGCTTAAAGTTTACTATAGGTACAAATTTATCCAGTGCCTCAATGGTACGGGTACCTCTACTTAATGTTCAGATATTTAAACGTATATTATATTCATACTTTTTTTTTAACTAGGGCGCTACTAGGACGATACTTTATTAAGGGTTTTTTCAAGTTATTACTACAAAATTTGTGTAATTAATAATTATTAATAACAACCCTGCAGGAATCACGAGCGATAAAAAAAAATAGAAGCTTCATTACCCTAAAAGACAAGTAGATCATTTTATAAATGAAAGATATTCTCATTTAAGGAGTTTACCAAATAAGTTTAATGAAAATTGTTAAATGTAGGTATTTTGTTAATTCTATTGACATTTTGGGAATCACCTCCGGCGTCAGCTTAGTCTTGGCTTAGTCCTTTTAATGTTTCTTGTTGAATTAGAATTTGGGACTGATTTCAGAAATTTTAGATAAAAATATACATAGTAATTATATATAGACATATATAATATAATATAAGTATAAACAACTAACTTAATTATACTATTTAAGACCATAATTTATTATTGATTAATTTAAAAAATATATCAGTACGGCAATTGTTACCTCAATTGTCTGCAAAGTGCACAGCATACGCACGCCTATGGTTGAAAATGTACGTTTAATTAGTTATGAACAGATTGTTTTTTTTGGTAATAATAAGATTTTTGGGGATGCCTAATAAAGAGGGTGTGGGGAAGAAGCCTCCTGTGGTTATATAAGGTATGTTAGCTAAGGACACAAATATATTTTGTGATATCAAATCACTGATTTTAATATTATATGTAGGTACCCGATCACGGACTAAGATATAATGGACTGGAAACGACATGGTCGGCGATGAGGGGACGGCCACGAAAAGGTGTCACTTAGCTGATAAGAATACTATTCTTGAAGTTTTCAGGGCTACCGGTCACCGGTAGTTTTATTTGGCTACACAATTTGTATCTTAGTCCGTGTTTTATACAGAGGGCGCTGTGAACTCCAGGAACACATAGCGACCCCCCGCACTTTGCCTCTTGTACATACATTCGTGGATGTGATAAGCTGCTCGTTTCCAGTCCATTATATCTAAGTCCGTGTAACCGATATATGATATGGGACTCGTATTATAAGAAAATTATAATACATAATCAAAATAGGTATATATGTATTGATGGTGAATTAATTTTAGATTCTGAGTTGAACGATGAATGTATTTATTATTTAATTCAACAATTTGATTATAATAATTCAGAAGACATATTATATAAGTGCGTATAAGTGATTATTATTATATTTATAACAATTTACTATATTCAATGTTTCATGTTTAAAATCATTTATATTAAAGCATACGTCGAGGTATACGTTTACAATACCACATTAAATTTTCTAATTTACATATATAAAAAAACATATAACTAAGAATTTAGATTATAAGCGGAGGGATGAATATGATGGTTTCACAAAAATGAATATTTTTTTATTTATCTTTTGAGTCCGTTATACCACGTCTTTGGAACTTTAAAAATGCAGTAACTTTTTATATT